TACATGAAAATTCAAATTTTCACAAACTTCAAAACGCTACAGAATATTTACTACTGAATATTAATAAGATATTTTTTTACTAAAATTTTTCTTAAATTCTACTCTACAAAATAGCTATCTTAGATTTTTTTTTTACTTTTTATTTAAAATTTAAAAATAATTAATATTTTTAATAAAATGTAAAAAAATTAATTATTGAGATATAGCTATAGACCTAACGTCTAACTAATATTTAAAAAAAAAATCAGCTAAAAATATTAACTGGATCAAAAGTTATTTAAGTTGTCAGTGAGTGGTGGGCCACCCTGTATATAAATCTTTTCATTTTTCGAATGTTAAAATTTTTTTAATATTATGTTTTATTTCTTTTGCTGTTTTTAAAATAATTTAGTGTTTATAAAAGTTAAATTAAATTAAAACTTAAAAAAAAATTGGGCAATATTTAATAATACAAAATTAATATTTTGTTCATATATGTGTACAGAATTTGTTCATTGTTTTTTTTTTAACACGCTTATATTAGTTTCACGTGTATGTTGTTTGTTGTTTGTCGTTTGTAAGTTTGTAACTCCACGCGGCACGTGTTATTATGTCGTGTATCCCGTCGTGTATGACCTTGAGACTATACGGTTGTAACGCATTCGCCCCACCCCGCTCACCACTCGTAGAGAACAATATTTTCCAACCCGTAGACGCGCGCTTATCATCAATTATATATATACTATACAGGGTGTTCAGTAAGTCAGGAAACGGGTATCTATTGTTCTCATTGTTACAAACAATGAGAACAATAGATACCCGTTTCCTGACTTACTGAACACCCTNTATACGTATATGTTAATATTCATTTATATATTCCTACAGCCGACGCCTCTGCTGCCGTATATGCCTCGTGTATAATGTTCCCTCCGCCATGCCCGCCCACATAAACACGGCTATACCTCATGCATGATACGTTTACGTACTTAAGTCCCTTTAAATATATATATATTCTAATTATTATTAAAACTTATATATTAATACACTTTATTCTCATTAAGAGATATGTAGTGTATTCATTCCGATTACGGTGGATGATTTTCGTATCGTTATTTTTCGTCACTACCTCCACGTTACGTGCCTGCTGCTTTCCTTGGATGTGGTAGCCGTTTCTTAGACTCCCTCTCCGGAATCGAACCCTTATTTCCCGTTACCCGTTACAATCATGATATTGATATTAACTACTATCATAACATGAAACTAAAAAGTGAAAAATAAATATAGTTTAAAAAAACTAAAAAACACGCTTTTAAAGCACATCGAACTAAAAAGTTAAAAATAATTTTTAAAATTAACTTAAAACAATAATGAACGAAAAATACTAGTATTATTGTGAAAAAAAGAGTGGATGCTTTATGCCATATATTTTGTATATTGAGCGCCCGACGCTTTTTTTCACAATAATAGTAGTATTTTTCGTTCATTATTGTTTTAAGTTAATTTTAAAAATTATTTTTAACTTTTTAGTTCGATGTGCTTTAAAAACGTGTTTTTTAGTTTTTTTAAACTATATTTTATATTTACATTTTTATAAACTATTTTTTTTCCGTTATTATATTTTAAATAATTTAGTTTAAATAAAAATTCAATTAAGTTATAAAATTTTAAAATTCTAGATTATTTCTTATATGAAGTTCCCAATTCAGCTCCCAGATCCTGACTTCTGTAATATATTTAAAAGATATTTCTTATCTTTTGTATAGATATAAATAAATTAAATTAAATTAATTAAAATAAATTGTCCCGACACATTATCTCCTATGTGCAAATTGCCACTGAATTTATAATATTCTATTATTTAGTTGGCATATTTGATTGCATAGTGAAGAGCTTCGATGAAAAGCTTTTAATTATGACGTTTATATTTTTATTATATATTGTTTTTTATTTACTTTTAGCTTAGATGCAAAGCTGGGAAGGTTGGTCTTCTTTTTGTGATTTTGTGTCTGTTTTTCATTATATTTTAACTTTGCATCCAAATTGAGATGTATTAATTTTATTTTGATGTGTTTTTTTTGTTTGACTGTTATTACTTTTTTTCAGCTCTCACCAAACCGATTTCTTTCAACGTTACGTCAAAAGATCACAAATTGTATCTAACTGAAGATTTTACCCTCATTCCCCGTAAATGAGTGAAATCTCTAAAAAAGTATAATTTTAAAATCGTAAGTTTTCGACATTTTTTCAATTTTCTATTACTTAAAACTGCCATAACTATTTAAAAAAATGAACAAATCAATATAAATTTTTGTTTATAAATTCATGAGGTATTAACCTATTATTTTGTATATTTTTTTTTATAAATATGACACTTTACCTGCCCACAGAGGGGGATTCATTATACTTTTTCAAAAAATATTAATTTTTTCAACTTAATTTTTAAATTAATATTTATAAAATATTGTAAAATTAACATTTTTATATTTAAAAAAGAAACGGGCATCAAAGTTAATAAAAAAATATTATTTTTGTAAAAAATTACAATATTTAATTATTAAATATCCATTTCAATATTTATTCATATATTACACTTATAAATCATAAAACTTGTAATCAGGATATAAATAAGGAAATAAGAGATATTGCTATTGTAATAATCCACCAATTTTTGAAAATTAAACAATATCAGATATCATGTATACTTATAAATATACTTATACATATAAAAGATTATATCATATTGAACCGACAAGGAGCGTATACTTGTTTACGTTGAGCATAAAGCCGTCGATATGCGATAGAGTAAAGCCGCTACCCCTCCCTAAGTACGCGTCTTCCTCAGTGAGCATAACCTCAAAATGTTCATCGACTGCACACCCGATATCTGTATCGGATAGCTATGTTCTAGCGCGTGTCTTGAAGGCACGGTCTCCGAGCGGTATTTCCGATCGCGGTATATGGTATGAGGCCTCCAATTTAAGATTGTACTTAATCAGACGGTTACCGACGATTTCAGTGAGTCTGGTTACCAGTTCGGGTTTAATGATGCGCAGAAAATCCCGATAACTCGCGAAATTTTCCACGTTCTTCCGATAAAAACAAACGGCCAACTCCAACGCAGTATCAATCTCAGTGAAATAGCGAGTATCCGTCAACTGCATACGTTACCTTTTTGAACTAACCGCGCTATTGTTAGCCTAACTACGCTTAGCCGCCTGACGTGACGAAGCAGATGTAAACGAGGTAGCTTTAATAAAAAATAAAATAAATAATATAATGCTTAGGCGTGAAAAAAAAACAACGTTGCCATTTTCCTCATAAAATGCTAACGTATTATGGCGTATATGGCGGTATCTTTGATGTTGGAAATATGCTTACTTAAGCGTCTGGTGACCGATGATATAATTCTTAGAAATTATAATGCCATAACGACAGATGTTGTCTTTGTTCTTATAAAATGTATACGCTAATTAGCGTTATAGTATGATGGTACCTTTGATGTTTGAAATATGCTTACCTAAGCGTCTGGTAGGCAATGTTATAATTCATAGAAAATGATAGCTTTGATGTTGATAAAACGTAGACGGCGCCGCAATTATTCTCATAAGATGCTGACGCCAATGAACGTTATAATATAGTAATATCTTTGTTGTTGGAAATATGCTTACCCAAGTGTCTGGTAGTTGATGATAAAATTCTTAGAAAATGATTTATTTTATACTATCTATAGACATGCAGCATATTAGTTTTCGTCGGGTTTCATCTCCTCCCTCTTTAGGATATGTTGAAGGATAACTCTGTAGCGTTAATATTAAGTAAATATGTTGAAGTTATAGTCAAGGACATGTATAGTGGCGGCGACGGCTGCTACTAAACGTGCACTATTCAATGTAATACGTACGTTTATCAGTTGACGTTATCAGTTATGAGTTTTAGTTTACCCTATTCTCCAGTAGATGGCGCCTTAGGTGGAGAACAGCTACGTATGAACCATCCCCCACCCTTGGCATTGAATTATAGTGTGCATGCGCACCATAGTTTAAAAAACCGCCATTTTGAATTACTTTAACATTCTTACACCACCATCATTGGGAAGGGTGCCTTCCCCACCCCGCCATTCCAGTTCGCTCTTTGTTTCAATTCTATATCAAATTTACGCCGTTTTACATACTATTTTTAATCCCTAAGATATAGAAGACTTATTATTCATATTATTTTCGGGTGAACACTTTTTTGGTTATACAATTATTTCAACATATAAAACATATTGGTAATATATGATTTATTTATTTTTATATCACACCTTGATTCACTTCAATAAAATACATGATTAGATTGCAATGTATTATATACAGGGGTGTAAACAGCAGGGGTGTCGGCGGAGCTTAGTCTCTTCCTCTGGCCAACTCGAACAGTTACCACAACTGACATTTTCAACAAGGCAAACCGCGCGAAAAATAACCAGACTGGTTACGTATGGTATACCACCCTTATCGTATAACGTCGGCGCAATGTCACTTGTACGCATTCCTTACGCTACCGACCCTTTAAGGGAAGAGGAAAACAATACTATCTCTATAAATTTTGAACCCTTGGTATCGCGAACTACTGGTAAGGTAGTACTCCTCCACTGTTTCCTGATTACATCCCTGATTTACAGACCGTTTTTTTAAAAAGCACCCTTTCGGCTTCACACCCCATTTAAAAAATT